AGTTATTTCAACAAAACAACATCAAATTTGAAATGTAATGCAGGGAATTCTGGGAATGTCAATTTACGGTTATTCACTGTAGATTATACGGTATTTGTCACTTCCAAAAACGGTATACTACCGTAAAATTTATGTCCAATACATGTAATGTCCAATATAGTTTTTCACCGTATATAGTAGGGGAATTTACCGTTAACCATTTAACAGGTTTTTACTGTAGCATTTTTACAGTCTTTTACCGTTAAATTCACGGTCATTTTTTACAGTGTATATATATATTTTTTTCATCTGTACTAGATGATACAGTGTGCTCTATGCTCTCCTAAACATGAGTTTTCCCTCCCTATGCTGTAGACCCATGTGCCACCTGAAAAAGTCCGAGCCAGCCATTAAAGCGCAAGGCCGAAACCTCACGGTAGCTAGAGTACAGAACTGCTCCAGAACGAGAATCCTCATGAAACATTTACACGGCCATTCCCCCGTGAAACAGCACATTCCCATTTAAAATCCCAGCACAGCGGAACTCTCCGCCCACATCAACAAGCCCAGCTGCCAATCACATCCACCGACACTCTCTGTCCTCTTACTATTTTAATTCATGCTTATCCCTGTTCCTCTTCCGGACTCGTTCCGCATTCATATTTGGTGGTAAAACACAGAGGAATAATTCATGAGGAATGTAATTAAAGCATGAAGTGTGATAAAGTTTAGTGGCACTAATGAGGGCGTGCCCCCTGAGGGGCTTAAGTACGGAAAGTCCGAGTCAAAACTCTCGTTCTGTAAAGATCACCGCACTGACGAGCAAATAGCGTCATCAAGACTGACATTAAAACAGTATTGAAAGCAGATGAAATCAATATTGATTCTAAATCACAGACTACATCATATCCGCTAAAAATTGGGTTGTGAAAAGCTGTGGCTTTTAAATATGTTTAATTAAGTAAACACTTGATAATATAATATCATTTTGTTTGCAGGAGGTTCTTAAAATGGTTCTTAAATGGCCACTTTTAGAAAAATAAGAGGATTATGGAAAAATTGTCAGAGATATGTTGTGTTAGTGCAGCAAAACGGTTACATTAATTTAAAAAATATAACAGAAACATAATTATCATTAATCATTCCCTACACAATACATATTTTGAAAAAGGAGATTTCTTTTAACCATATCTTTCAAGATATGCTAGTATCACTCTTCATAAAATTAATAAACCATACAAAAACACAGTGATTATTTTAGGCATTAGAGGATAAATAAATTAAACTATTGATTTCAACCAGTTATAAAGCAAACAAAATGTAGTACTTTTATTTAAAAAATATTATACAATATATTTTGGAGTAAAATTCCATGTATTGCTTTTTTTAATAACTTAATATTTACACTTGAGCAGTTTTTACAGTAGCATTTTTCATGTTTATTTCTTGGGTTTGAATTAGACAGGAAACATACCATACTCATATCCTGCCTAATTCATTCTTAATAAATAAACATGAGGTTTTTGTTGAACATGTTTTCAACTCTTGAATGGCTTACAGCTGACTGCATTTATGAGTTTGACTGACAGATGAAATCAATCAATCGCTCCTGTCATTGTTTTTCAAGACCAGAGCAAGGATTCTTCTCCTGTTTGTTGTCCTTTGCCTCTTTCTCTTGCGGTGTGTATTGACACGGAGGGTCCCGCTTCAATATGCTCAGACGAAACAAGCGCTCTCTGCCGCTTGACTCTCAAAAGCTTCACTGCAGAATCCAGGAATAGCTTTTGTTTTCACCTTCACAACTACCAATGCCTAATTTAGCTATTTTATTTAACTTAAGTCTTAGTATTTTATACACACCTGGATGCTGAAACTGCATTGTATTTTGCCATTTAAAAATTTATAGTAAAAATAAGTTTTAGGTAACTGAGTGTGGTAAATGGCTCTAGGATGCAAAACAACATATCATACGTCTTATTCATATATTTATTTATATAACAATTATATATAATTGTTAGTAATTTCAACAAAAGAGTGTAAAATGCTACAGTAAAAACTGTTAACTGTAAGCAAAAACAATACATTTTACTGTACTGTACTGAAATTAATTATTGTTAAAATTATGTTCTTAATAAGAATTTATTAAGAATAATAAAACAATTCTGTAGAGTGCTGTACAAAACTGGCATCCCATTACATTCATTTTTTAGCAACAACTGTATTGTTAAACAAATATAATTTCACCGTAAAATTATATAAAAGTATATGAATAAAAAGTAATAAGTAAAGAACATACAGTTATCAAATATCACTAGTATATTTTACAGGAAATCTGTCAAACACAGCTGACAGTTTTTAGAGAGATGTATTTAAAAATGTACAAAATGTAAGAAAACCAAGCAAATCAACACTTGATAAAAGTCATGACTGACTAATAATAAATCTTTAGGTGCAGAACTAGAGTTCTGAGTGTGATTTTTATCCAACAGACAAACCTCTCCTCCCTGAAAATAACACACATGATCAGCTCATATATTCACAGCAGACTCAGGTGTGAACAGAGATACTTTTTAATAACGACCAATGAACAGAATGAATTACTCCATCTATTCAGCAGTTTTTACATATCAATGCATGTCCATTGTGAGCTTTGAACAAAGCACCTGTTTTAAATTCTGAGGTCAAAAGGAAGTTAAAGACTCTGCTTCTCAAGACATCAACGCCTCATATGCGATATTGAAGAACTCGGATGGAATGCATCATAAATCCACTACATATAAATTGAATTCTTTATGTATTATGCATTCATAATCCATATAATACCTACACCTTATAGTCAGCTGCATGTTATTGTAAATAACAACCACATTAAAATACACTGTCAAGCAGAAAAAGATTAATAATAATAACGCATGAATAACAGCAGATTTCGAGTGATATGTCCTGTTATCATGTATTCTGATGCAGCATACACTTGAAATAAAACTGTATTATAATCATAATTACTTTGTAGAACATTTTTGAACGATACATTAAAAATCACTCAAATGACCCTTCATAACTGACGCATATATTATTTGTTTTAATATCAGCACGAGATCATTATTTTGCAATCAAACGATGCACGCAAATTATAAATACAACACCAATAATGCACTTTATAAATGCAGAGCCTTGCAAAAACATAAGCAAGAACGGACATAAAAAGTCATTCAAAATGGAATGCATTATGAAAAAAAATGCCGATACAGCCTTCAAATGATCACTGCATTTGAAACTGCACGCGTGAGTGTTCGGAATCTCAGAAGCATTCAGATTCACCCGTGACAGAGCCACGCGCGGCACTCACCTGCACGACACGGTGATCTCAACTTTCGTGGCGGGAATCACCGCCGCGAGCGGCTCGAAATCCGCGAGACTCGCCATATTCAATAAGCCGCTCATCACTGTGGACATGCTGCTGCTGCTGATGTCGGGGGAGCGCTGCCACGGACACGCACCGCGAGCATCCTTTAGTCCGTGGATCCGGAGCGGGTGGGTGCGCGCGCGTGAGGGAGTCACACCGCTTTACACGCGACGACACAGGCGCGCGAGAGTGAGAGAATCCCTGCCCGTCACGCGCGTCAGTGAGCGCAGAGGTGCGCGACGACAGCAAGACGCACGCGTGAACTATATCCGCTCAGATACACACATCAAGCGTGCGTGTTGATACTGTACGCGTGAAGTGTGAACTGTCACGGAACACTGCGTTTACACAAATCGAGATATCTCAGGTTCTGTTATCTGTCTCTATTAAATATAGCAACCCGATCTCATGAAAATGCGTATAAATAGTACGCCAAATAAAAACGAAAACTCGTGGTATTGATAGCAAAAATGGACTTTGGCGTGTATATACTACGCGATGGGTAGGTTTAGGGTTGTGGGGTAGATGCGTATTATATGCACGCCAAACACATGCGTATCATATGCACGCGAAAACTGCGTATTATATGCACGCCAAACACATGCGTATCATATGCACGCCAAAGTCCATTTTTGCGTATCAATACCACGAGTTTTCGTTTTTATTTGGCGTACTATTTATACGCATTTTCATGAGACCGGGCTCAAATATAGTTATATCTGGAATATTGTGCAAAGACAGTACGTTGGCCCTGTCTACTTTAAGAATGTTAAATATAGGCTACTCGTTTAATTTGTCCCCAATGTGCATATTCATGCATCACAGGAGGATTCGGTTCAGTTCAGTTCTGTGATAAAAATCACATCACAGTCATTTCCACCAAATGTCAGATTGTGCATTGTGATGGAAATGGCATTTTAAAACAGCTGACTGGTTTGTTTTGTGAAGGCTAATTTTAGAACTAGAATGTTATTGTAATTAAAGTTTAAAAACACTGATATGAATCACATTAAATCACATGACGTTTGACACAATGCTGAAACTGTTCGTGCTCTTTGTTTTTAATAATAAAAAACTGCCTTTTCATTGCCAGTCCATTCAAGCGACAGTTTTGTCAAGTTATGCTAAAGGTTTATCCACTGTCATTATGGAAAAGAGCAGTCTGGACATTCTGCTAAACATCTCTTTTTGCCTTTCACAGAAGAAATGAAATGCGAGTGAGTAGCCATTGCTCGACTGTACTGAATGCGCACTTGTAGTGTATTTCAAATCTTTTTGAAGATGAAATCTATTTTTCTTTTTGAAATCAATTTGAAATTCTCAATTTTCAAAACAGAGTATTTTTTAACTGTATGTGCAAATAATATAATATTAATGACATAAAAGGCCACTTTTCTTAGGAGAGCACACTTTCATGACTACATGTAAGTGCACTTTGTAATAATGTCAAATAAAAAAAGTTTTACTTTAAAGTAAATCATTTGCTTTAGTAATCTTTTGTCATGCTTTAAAGACGTACACTTATTTTTGGATGTGTTGACTAAACCTCACATAATACTGTATGTGACCAGACCACTGCACACCTTTCATGCATTTTCTGCTGTTGCCAGAAGTGGTTTGAGGCCCACGAATGCCCTCTAAATGTTGCTGCGGTTATGTCAGCACACAAACATTGATTTGTCTGATTATAATGAAATTAGGTTATGTGTTCTCACACATCAGAAATGTGAGGCTAGAGTTCAGCACAGGAGTCACACAGATGCTCTGCTCTGCACTAAAGCTGTTCACCCATCGACACAGCAAACAACATTCATACTTACTATTTGTCAATATACAGTATGACATTGCATTAGATTAAAAAGTGTCATTTACTTTAAATAAAGATGTGCACAAAAGCATAACATTTCACAGAAGTTTATTGATACGTCTACTGCTGGATAATGTACAATCCACCGGTTAGCATCGAAAAATAAACCCTAACAATCAGGATCTTGTAGTAGGCTTACTCTACACTATCTCGCTTATTAAGTACATCAAATAAGTACATGAAATATTTAATTAAAATCATTGTACACAATGAAATAGTCCAGAGAGATTATAATAGTAGTTTATAAATGTCTAACAATGTAATTTTAACACAAACTGTTGGTCTGTGGGGTTGTGCCGGCAGCAGAAGCTGGAATATCATGCATATTTAACGCTGCAGTGTTGTGAGGAAACACTCGGAAGTGTTTGTGTTTGTTTAAAACGATGATTTAAGATGAAGGGTGTTTCACCAGAAAGACTTGAACGATTTTTTTTCTTCTTCTTCTTTGTTGCAGCATAAAGAACCTAGAGAAGATTGAAAATAGCATGGATATAAATTCTTATTCAACATCAAGAAAAAAGGGGGTATATACAGTATATGATTCCTATATAGGAATATTCAGGAATAGTTGATCATTTTCAAGCATTTTACACAACTTACACAATTAGCAGAATGTAATATATGTAGTTAATAATAATAATATATCATTCAAACATTAGGGGTCACTAAGATTATTTTAAAGGGGTCATATTATGCTCTTTTACAAAGTCTTGATTTTGTTTTGGGGGTGTACTAGAACAGGCTCTCATACTAGGTTGTTCGAAAAACACATTATTTTTCACATATATTACATTATTACAACACCTCTCTCCCCAGTCTGGCATGAACGGCTCGAATAGTTCCTGTATCCAGGGCCGGATTTACGCATAGGCATTCTAGGCACGTGCCTTTGCTCGCTCGTCAAGGGGTGGCCAAAACACAATGAAGAGATATATAATATTTTTGTTATACTTTGGGCTATCTACAACAGTAAGAGAACCAAAACCCCAGAAGACATTGAGCAAATAAATAAAACAAACAATAAGGTAAAAAATGACAAACTATTTCCATGTCTTCCACCTTTTTTATGTAGGCTACGGAAATCACGCTTTCTTTCTCACAGTCTCTCTCACAGTGCAGACACGAACAGAAACTTCTTGTCAGCGCTGCACCGTGAATTTATCAATAAAATAGTTTCGCAGCTGAAAAGCTACATAACATTTCTCAGTTGCGAGGTTCATGAAGGAGTTTAACTTAAAGATTCGCTATTAGTAGACGCTGCTGCTGAACGCTGCTGAGAGACGCATAGACGCAGCACGCAGGTATTCACCAAATATGGCGTTATTTTAATGACAAATGTCGAGAGCGCATTATTGTAGCGCGAAAGCACATTAATATAATGCGCGAGCGCAAATCTCTCTGCTCGCACGCGGATTTCCTTTGCTCTTGCACAAAACCTGGGCGCAGTTAAAAACCTGTCTCTCCTCTCACTCAAACTGTCCTGTGCACTCGCAAATCTCTCTGTGCTCATGCGCTAGATATTAATTCTTTTCGCACCTGAATTAAACGTTGTCAAATGTTATCAACCTATCAGATTTCAAAGATGGATCTGTAATTTCTTTATAATTTAATACTACTAAGTCATAATAATCAAATATTAGAAATGAATCGGGCGCTTGGATTATTTGTAAATAGGCCTAACCTAGTTTGGCCAAACCCCTCTGAGCGATTTATCTAAACACAAACAAAAAAGTAGGCCTATATGATTCTTAAAGTTCATGTGGTCATATAGCCTATTGTGCACTTGGATTGAAATAAATAAATAAATATATCTTCTGATTAAGGACAGATTTAGTTAAGGGTCAGATGCACAATTCCCTATATTTAAGATGTGGAGACCAAATACTGTATAACACTATAATGAATTTCCCATATTTGTCATAACATTACTACATTATATTTGCAGACAATGTAATTACATGTAACTGTCATATAACTGTATATTCGCGGTTTGAGAGTGCCATTGAATGTGTAGCTATAGGGTTTGCATGAAAAAAAAAATCTAACTAAAATCAGAACTGAAAACAAACGCTGGATTTAAAAAAAAAAAAAAAAACTCCCAATAAATGTCCAAACAGTGATTCTATCAGAACATTTATTGTGTTATATCTTGCATCATTTACGTCTATTTTTGCATTTGATGTTGATTTGATAGGAATTGTTACTATTGCCATCATACCAACTGAGAATTTATTGCAATGATTTTAAATTCAGTTGAGGTATCTGCATATTATGACTTAACATTGAGCTTTTATATGAAGTCTTTAGAGCCATAGGCTATAATACTGTATGTTGTTTTTAGATAAATTGCTCAGAGACCAACGAGGTGGACAGAGGTTATTTATAGGCTATGTACAAATCATCCAAGCACCCAATTCCTAGCCATTTCTAATATAGGCCACATTTCATTAACATTGCTAAATATTATTAAACTGGAAATAAATTAAAGATCCATCTTTGATTGTCAAAAGAATTCCAGGTTCAGTTCCCTCTCAGCCAATTAGATTTCACATAGTATTTTCATCGGTCAGTTGTGGAGGTCTGATTGTTTAAAGCTTTATTTATATAGCGCCTTTTAAAAGTGTTTACAAAGTATTTTACAGAGAGATGCATATGTGCATTTACAGAAAAGAAAAGACAAATACAAACATAAAAGAGATAAAGTAATAAAACAAAGCACAATAACCAGTTTATGTTAAAACAAAAATACAACGATAAAAAACAAGGAAAGGCCTTTAGAGAAAAAATCTGTTTTCTTTTGACAACGTTTAATTCAGGTGCGAAAAGATAAATATCTAGCGCATGAGCACAGAGAGATTTGCGAGTGCACAGGACAGTTTGAGTGAGAGGAGCAAAGGAAATCCGCGCGCGAGCGGGGAGATTCGCGCTCGCACATTATATTAATGTGCTTTCGCGCTACAATAATGCGCTCTCGACATTTGTCTTTAAAATAACGCCATGCCAAGCGGCAACCTCCCGCTTGAAGCCAATACGGAAGTGACTAAAACTGCAATTCATCGACTGACCGCTAGAGGCTGTCTCCAAAAGGGAGGCAGTCCCATAGACTCCCCATGTTAAAATGCCCAACTTTACAGCAGAAAAAAATATGTTTACAGCCTGGTACAAAAAGTGCTTTTGGTCTATATAGGTAATTTTGCCCTT